TTTAGAGTCCATAAAATTATGTTTCCTTTATTGTTCAAAGGATTAGATGTTGAAAATTTTCACTGTGATGTCTGTGAACTTGCAAAGCACAAACGTGCTTCTTTTCCAATAAGCGATAAAAGAACATCTGTTCCATTTACTCTTATTCATAGTCCACTGTTTCTAACATTTTTGGGGCTCGGTGGTTCGTTTGTTTCATTGATGATTGCACTCGTGTGTCTTGGATCTTTCTTATGAAAAATAAATCTGATATGAGCTCTGTCTTTCCTATTTTTTACAACATGGTCAAAACACAATTTGGTACTGAAATAAAAAGATTTCGTTCTGACAATGCTAACGACTATTTTAATCAGTTTCTCTCACCATATTTCCGAGAAAAGGGCATAATACATAAATCTTCTTGTGTTAACACACCCCAACAAAATGGTGTGGCTGAACGAAAGAATGGTCACATTTTAGCTATTACAAGAGCATTCTTGTTTCAAAAAAATGTTCCTAAGCAATATTGGGGGGAAGCGGTTTTAACTGCTACTCATATGATAAACAGATTGCCTACAAAGGTTCTTGATTTTAAAAGTCCTATGCAAATTTTAACGAAATTCTTTCCTAATTTCAATGCTTCAAGTTTGTTCCCAAAATATTCGGTTGAGTTGCTTTTGTCCATGTGCATTCTCAAAACAGGGGAAAACTTTATCCACGAGCTGTCAATGCATCTTTATTGGCTATTCTTCCACTCAAAAGGGGTACAAATGCTATCATCCTCCCACAAGAAAATTCTATGTGTCAGTTGATGTCACTTTTGTCAAAGAAGATCATTACTTTACTCGTCCTTATCTTCAAGGGGAGATCTCATTCACAGAAGATAAGGACAAGGATCTTTTTCTGCTTGATTTTCCATTGTCCTCCTCCTCGGTTCCTATCTCTATTGTCCAACCAAACACTCAGTCCGTTCCTATTGACACTCAGTCCGTTCTTGTTGATCAACCTGAGCTAGTCCAGCCTGAGCCAAACATTCAGTCCAAATCCATACAACCTGAAACCGAGCCTCATACACCCAAGTCACAAGAGATGATAAAGGGAAACCAAATTCAAGACTCTACTCGTCCACTGCTGGTTTTTTCAAGAAGGGCACCAATCACTTAATCTGTGCAGGTTCAATCACCCAAATCAACCCCTACTCTTGGACTTAGCGAGGTAATTACTGAACCTATTTCTAATGAATATGGTGTCATTGAAGTTCTTGATCAAAGTGATTATGATATTCCCATTGCTATTAGAAAGAAAACTAGAGCATGCACCAAACACCCTCTGTGCTTATTCATGTCATACAAGAATCTGTCCCATAACCACAAAGCCTTTCTCACAAGCCTAAACACAATCTCCATTCCCAAAACCATATCCGAGGCATTAGGTAATGAGAATTGGAAGAATGCTATGAAGGTCGAAATGGAAGCACTTGAGAAGAACAAGACATATGACTTGGTGAAATTGCCGAGAGGGAAGAAACCGGTGGGATGTAGATGGTTCATTGGAGAGGTACAAAGCAAGGTTAGTTGCTAAAGGCTATACCCAAACGTATGGAATAGATTATCTTAAGACATTTGCTCCTGTTGCGAAGATGAACACCGTTAGAGTGTTGTTGTCATTGGCTGCTAATCTGGGCTGGAAATTACAGCAATTCGATGTCAAAAATGCCTTTTTACATGGTGATCTCAAGGAGGAGGTTTATATGGAAGTTCCATCGGGGTTTAGTTCGAATACAGGACAGGTGGTATGCAGGTTAAGAAAGGCGTTGTACGGATTAAAACAGTCTCTAAGAGCTTGGTTTAGAAGGTTTGCCAAGGTAATGCTCGATATGGGATACAAACAAAGCCAAGGCGATCACACCTTGTTTGTAAAGCACTCGGCTTCAGGGTGAGTGACTGCATTGTTAGTATATGTAGACGACATTATAGTGACAGGTGACGATTTGGAAGGAATGGAGAATTTAAAGAAGTGTTTAGTGAAAGAATTCGAAATTAAAGAGCTTGGCAAACTACAGTATTTTCTCGGCATTGAGGTAGCACATTCTCGGGAAGGAATTTTCATATCTCAGCAAAAATATGTAACAGATTTGCTAATGAAAACAGGCAAGTTAGGTTGCAGACCAGCAGCAAACGCCTATAGAGTTCAACCACAGGCTTGGAGATGCTCTAGAAGACACGGCAGTAGATAAAGGCTCCTATCAGAGACTTGTGGGAAGGCATATCTACTTGTCACACACTAGACCAGACATAGCCTATGCAGTTAGTGTTGTAAGTCAATTCATGCATAATCCCAAAGAGTCACATCTTAGGGCTGTGTATCGAATCCTACAGTACTTGAAAGGCACACCAGGCAAAGGTATTCTATTTAAGAAGGGGGAGGAGCTAACTCTTGAAGCCTACACTGATGCAGATTATGCAGGGTCTGTAATTGACAGGAGATCTACCTCGGATTATTACACTTTTCTAGGAGGCAACCTTGTGACTTGGAGGAGTAAAAAACATAATGTTGTGGCAAGATCCAATGCAGAAGCCGAGTTTAGAGCAATGGCACTTGGGATTTGCGAATTATTATGGCTGGAAATTGTCTTAGAAGATCTAAGAGTCAAGTGGGAAGGTCCAATTAAGCTTTATTGTGACAATAAGTCAGCCATTAATATTGCACATAATCCAGTGCAACACAACTATACGAAGCACATTGAAGTTGACAGGCACTTTATAAAGGAGAAGCTTGACAGTGGCCTAATTTGCACGCCATTTGTTTCCACTAGCAATCAACTTGCAGACATACTCACCAAAGGACTGTCTAGGATGTTTTTTCAGAGACTAGCAAGCAAGCTTGGAATGGATGATATCCATTCACCAGCTTAAGGGGGAGTGTGGAAAATTCAGTTCCATAAATAAGGAAACCGTGTGTGTATAGCTGTAATTAGCTAAGGAAACGGTGTGTGTATAGCTATAATTAGCTAGGAGATCTTGTAATATTTTAGTCATTGTAATCCCTGATTTTAGGGAATTAGTATCTCTAGGATTAGACAGATTCCTAGTTTTAGAGTTTCCTAATTTAGATCCTCTGAAGTGTATATAACAATGTAATTTCATTGTGATTTCAAACAATTGAATTTCAGCCCAATTTGTGTCATATATTTATATTTAAAATAAAATAAGGTGAATTTTATTTTTGTGTATTAAGGAAAATAAAATTGGAGTTGGAAGCACACAAAAATTAATAATCGAATACGTTAGTCATGATACCAATCGTTTGATCAGTTTTTGTAAAGAAATTAAAACAGGAAAAATGGCAAAGTAATAATGAATTGAAAATTTTTTTTTTTGGGGAAAAAATTGATGTTTTCAAACAAGGAAAAGAAAAAAATTATTTTGCATATTTACTTGTTTAAAACAACAAAAACCAGGGTAACCCGCCCGACCCGGAAATATTCGGGTTCGTGTTACAGGTAGAGCCCAACGCTAACTGACCGCAGCCCAGCCTAGTCCGACCGGATTCGGGTCGAGATCGGGTTGGGACCGGGACCGGGTTGGGCCTGCCTAACTTGCACCTGGCATATAAAGTTCACAAATTCAATCAGCACTTTAAGACTTAAAAAAAATCTCCATGTAGTGGATGAGATACGCAAGAAAGGAATCAAGAAATGGCTGATTATACAAAAATGGAAAGGCGGTTTTAGGATCTGAAACGAAGAAATTAAAATAGTGTCATACAATTCAAAGCAAAATTAAACATGCCCTAGAAAGAAACAAGTAATTCAGTTTTAATTATTAGCAATAAGACAACATGGTTGTCATTACCAAACATCAAATAAATCCTACAAGATGAAAATACAAATTATGATTCTATCTAGAGCAAGGTTTGAAAAACAGACACAACCACTGACTTGAACTAAACACGGTGTAACGAGCGAAAGGCCTTGTTGAGCTTTACGTAACAGAATCAATTATCACGAACATGATTTTATTGACCTAGCACACCACCATAAGCGCTAACTCAGCTGAGTTGCAAGGGACTTGGACAAGACTCGATTGGTTCCCTAGGGACTCAAAAGAGACTCGGTTCCCTAGGGACCCAATCGAGACTCGGCCGAGTTTCATGTGATCCTGGTTCTGATATATCTTTACCACCCTGCCAAGTCAATGAGACTCGACCAATATTGAGAACTATGACTGATGCAGAACCAGAAAGAAAGCAGGGAGGTGAGAAAATAGAAGAATATATGAGACTAGAAGAAAGGGGTGAGAAGACAGACGAAGGGGGTGAGAAAATAGTTTGAATAGATAGGTTGGACAGAGGGAGGTTAAGAAAAGCAAGAACAGAAATAGGGAGAAGAAGAACAGAGAAGAAGCAATAATCAATATTCTCCAAAAACTGATAAGTTCTGTTGCATGAAAAGCTTTTATAGGAAAACACCAAAATAAAATAAAATACCCAAAAATATTTAAAATGGCCAGTAAACACTCAAATGAAAATACTAAAATATCCTTAACAAGATGTCCCTGCACTTACACCTGACATTAGTCTGAAATACCTCACAATCCCTATCAATGACTCAGAGTCATTTATTCAGCTTTTTGGTTTTCAGTGTGCATAAACTAAAACAAGAATGAAACTATTTTGGGAGTGTGAAAACAACCCAGTTATTTTTCCATTGCATTTAGATGCAATATCATGAAACACACCACAACACGGTACAACAATCCAAGGAAAGTTTTCCACCCTCAGTGCTTTATAATTATTCATAAAATCTAGCTAACAAATGACTTATTCAGTTCTTAGTCATCATTAGGATGGCAAAGTAAACTAAATGTTGGTAAAAAATACATCTTAATTCCTTATAAATTCTAGTAGAAGAGAAGAAAATAACTAGTTGAAGAAAGGAAAGAATGAAAGAGTAGTTCAATAACTAAGCAACAGATATGGACACAAAATTAGTGAGTGCATTAGAGAAAAACTCTGCTTACTAGTCTTTATCATTTGCTTGGGAAGCGAGAATGAGGTCAGCACATGCAATCATAACATTCTCCGCACCAACACTGTACCAAGAGTATAAGTAATTATCAATGAGTAATACCACAAAAGCAGGAAGAGAAGACTAATAATCTACATGGAGAATGGTGGATTATGGTGCACATTTATTCAAAGACGCAAACTGGCACTACAATTGATAGTAATTAAATGAAAGGTAGAAGATCTACATAACATTTACGCTATGATTGATTGAAGCACATCAGCTTAGATTTTTTTTTAAAAAAAAATTTGTACTTTTCTATTTTCTTTATATTTTTTTTATTTTTATTAAATTGCATTAGTAGTACTACCTCTCCCCAAACGAGAACAACGCTTTCATAACCTAAGCCCACTTCATCCCATCTCTCTATAAAATGGTATGCTCACCACCACTACTAATACAAGAACGCATGATGGTGAACAAGTTTATCTTACAGGATTTTATTTTATGTCTTGTACTTCAAATTACATTTTCAATCTCTTTTAAGTCATATTAACATAATCAGTATGTCACTTACAATCCTCAAAATATATATATATTTTTTGATAAGTAATAATTCAATAAAAGGCGTTCAAAAGGGGAACGCGTCCCTTGTACAAAAGTGGAACCGGGATCTAAGGCCCCAAATAATCCAAAAAAATAATTATTTTCGGAGGAGGAGCAAGAACACCTCTGCACATAACTAAAAAGAGAGCGAATAATATGAAGTTTCAGTGTCGCCGTGGACGACTCCTTCCCTTTGAACATTCTACTATTCCTCTCCTTCCAAATGCACCACCACAAGCAATGTGGAACTATCCTCCAGTAGTCGCGAACACTACTTCTCACACAACATCCCCTCCATGCCTGAATCAGTCCCTTAGAAGATTGGGGCATTACCCAAAGCATGCCAAATAAACTAAGTATAAGATTCCAACAGTCGTACACCACAGAGCAATGCAGGAGAAGATGATCAACTGACTCACCATCTCATTTGCACAGGCAACACCAATTAACGATATAGTTACCTCTCTTCCTCAAGTTGTCAATCGTCAGGATCTTACCCCATGCAACAGTCTATACAAAGAATGCCACTAGAGTTGGAGCCATAAAACGCCATATGGTCTTCCATGGAAAATCAAGGCTATCAAAGTCGGATAGGCAAAGGAACAAGGATCGTACTTCGAATCGACCATGGGAAGAGGGGATCCACGTAAGATCATCACTACCTCTGCCACCTGTCTCCTGCCGATACAACAGATCCAAAAGAACACATACCTCGTCCATCTCTCAATCTTGAAAAGAACGCCAAAAATGCACATCCCGCATAATCCCACTACTATCAAGCCGATAACAGTCAGCTACGCAGGCATGTCTATCAACTGCAATATTGTATAATCTGGGACAGGTACAAGATAATGGCTGGTCACCGCACCATAGATCCTCCCAAAATCAAACATATCGGCCATCACGAACTTTGAATCTGATGTGGGAAGAGAAAACATCCCAACCCTTCTGAATGGATTTCCAAACACCAACTACTACTCCCACAATAGAAACCAGACAAGTAGACCAACCGCCACTCTCCTCCCCAAAGCGACATGAAACAAGCCTTCACCAAGGGCGATGCCTTTCCCTCTCGAATCTCCATAACCATTTACCCAAGAGAGCTTGATTAAAGGGAACCGACCTCCTAATACCCAGACCACCCAACTTCATTGGCTTGCAAACTTGCTCCCATCTAACAAGGTGATACTTAAATTCTTCGCCCCTTCCGCCCCAAAGGAAATCCCTTTGGATCTTTTGAATCCTTTCAGCAACAGAACATGGAATTTGGAACATAGATAAAAAAAAAATAAGTAGGGAGACTCGATAAAGTGCTCTTTATAAGAGTAACTTTCCCCCCCTTGGACAGATATTGCTTCTTCCATCCTGCCAATCTCTTCATAGGGTCCTAGCTCCCCACTCTCCTAGAGGAAACCCCTAGGGGCAAGCCCAAGTAAGGAATGGGAAAAGAACTCGCCCTACACTCAAGGACTGCGGCTAAGGAGAAAATATCCTGAACATCCCCAACCGGGACAAGCACGCTCTTAGCCACGTTGACCTTCAGCCCAGAAACCTCCTGAAAACAAGCCAGAATGCACCTCAAGTATCTAAGTTGAGACACATCAGCATCGCAAAAAACCAGGGTATCATCCGCAACCAATAAATGAGAGATCTCCAACTTATGGACTAGATCTCTGCCCACACTAAAGCCCTTGACAAGACCGAGATCCTCTGCCCTCCTCATAAGTCTGCTCAAACCCTCCATTACAATGGATCTCCTTGTCTTTGTGAGATATATATATATATATATATATATATATATCTCACAAAGACAAGGAGATCCATTGTAATGGAGGGTTTGAGCAGACTTATGAGGAGGTATATATCTCACAAAGACAAGGAGATCCATTGTAATGGAGGGTTTGAGCAGACTTATGAGGAGGGCAGAGGATTATATATATATATATATATATATATATATATATATATATATATTGGGGAGATTGTGAAAAATATATATTTTTTAATTGGCTAATTTCGTTGTCAAAACAAGTCCGATCGAGTTGTAATATTTCGGTTCAGAATTCAAGATTGAAGATCGGATGCGGAATTGAAGGAGTTCAAGTATTCGTACTTTAATACACTTCATGACGATAAGAACAATGCTTTAGAAAGGTATGTGAGTGTGTGAGAACACTTAGGGCCTGTTCACTAACGCTTTTACTTTCTTATTTTTACTTTCTCCAAAAGTAAAATCATAATTTTCATTTCTAAAGTTGAAATACCAAGTAGAATCATGTTCAATAATATTTTATGCTTTCAATATTTTGAAAGTAAAAAATTAGAAATCAAGTTCAGTAATTATGATTTTGATTTTGCAAAAATTGCTCACCAAAACCCATCTCATTCTCTGCAAATATCCTTCTTTGCAATTCTCACCAAAGAACATACCAACAGAAAGAAAAGAAAACCAACAAACCCATCAAACATCTATATATATATATATATATACACACACACATCTATGGATGCGAATTCTAAGGTTTTCTGTTTTGTATATGTTAAACCCAAATTCATCAACAAGTAAAATCATCAACAAACCCATCAAACCCAAATTCGTCACCAAAAACAATCTCATTCTCTGCAAATATCCTTCTCCGCAATTCTCACCAAAGAACATACCAACAACAAGAAAAGAAAACCAACTAACCCATCAAACATCTATATATATACACATTTGTGGATGCGAATTCTAATGTTTTCTGTTTTTTATATGTTTGAACCCAAATTCATCAACAAGTAGAATCATCAACAAACCTATCAAACCCAAATTCGGAATCCCCTGAAAAACTGATTGGGAATAGAACTTTGGAGTATGAATTGCTTGTGGATGCGAATTTGGGTCTCCCTCTCCAATGCCCAAATTGGGTCTCCCTCTCTAAAAAAAAAAAGTTTAATCTGGGTTTGATTATAGTGATTACAGAGAGAGATATGAAAGCGAGTGAGTTTTAGAGAGAGAGAGAGAGAGAAGACCCAACAAAAAACCCAGAAAACCCAAACTTAAGCAAAGCCCCAACAAACTATTGCAAACACAATGGACTGCGATTCAAAGACTTCAAGTTACAGTGGTTGAGAGAAAGAGAAAGACTCCAAACTCTAGTGGTTTAAAGAAAGAGAAAGACTCCGATTCCGGTGGTCTGAAATTCGTCGGCATCGTCTTGTCTTCGTCCAGATAGAGAGAGAGAGAGAGAGCAGTATTGATAGAAAGTCCGGTGGTGCTGTTTTTCGGTGTTGCCGATGGGTGGTGTCTTCCATCGTCGCTGGTGGGTCGGATAAGATGATGATGATAGAGAGGGAGATGATGATGGGTGATGGTCAGGTGAGAATGGGTTATACAAGGATGATGGGTGAATGAATGCTACAGTAATAGAAAGTATTTTACAGTGTAGGAAGTAGAGAAAGTAACAAATCCTCACTTTCTCCTTCATTCATTAAATGTGAAAGTACTTTCTAAAAGTTGAAAAGTGAAATTATATTAATAAACATGATTTTTATTTTTTACTATACATTTTAGGAATTGGCAATAAAAAATAGGAATTATTCTTGTTAGTGAACAGGCCTTTAGGAAGTTTTGGAAGTTTGAAGTTCTTAGGAAGTTTACATTCTGCCTATTTAGTACTAGTAGCCAAATCTAGTACTAGTAGCCAAGTAAGATAATTTTATTCTGTCCATTGAGTACTGGTAGCCAAATAGCATAATTCACTTCTGTCCATTGGGAACCGGTAGCCAACTTTGGGAACAGGTAGCCAATCACATTGGATTCTTCTCTATCCATCCTGAACCAGTAGCCAAAATCCAGTACCATTCAAGGCTTCAGAACTGCCTTCGTAACTTTAATTTCCTGATCTATTTTGATTCATTTTTGGTCTAGACTTCCTTCCAAAATCCTATGCACGAAATTGACTTGTTTTCCAAGTACAATTAGGTTTTCAAAAGTCTATAAAAAACATGTTTTCTCAATTAGGATTTCACAACTTTTGCATACAAAATTAATCAGCTTTTCAGAGATATTTTTATTCAAAAAATCAATCGGATTTTTCAGATTTTATTTTTGAGAACACACACATAAACAAAAGAGTGATTTAGGAGTGTTGTTCTCTATCTCATCGAAATTGGAGCATAATTAGAGATTCAAAAATTTTGAAAAGCAGAATTTATTCGTTCTTCATCAAATTCAAATCTTGAAGAAAAGGGGTGAAGTGATCACACTTTGAAGGGGTCAAACTTCAAAGCATTCGTGGAGTGTTGTTTGATCTACCTGCAACTCTTCTACAGAGATCGAGAGTAAGCTTGAGGTCGACAATTGTTAGACGGGGGAGTTACAAAGCCAGGGATTGTCAGCGATTAGTTTTTGGTAGAATGATAGGATGTGAGCCTGAGTCAAAGTTTGATGTACTTTGCTTCAAACATAGTGGATCATTTTTTTCTGGACAATATAGT